TATAATATAAAAGTCACGCCTTTATTATGTGTGATTCTAAATTATCTATCTTATTTTGATGATGTAACTATGTAATAACTACAAATCCTAATTTATAATATAAAAGTCACGCCTTAATAAGGCATGTGTTATTAGTATTCTCACCTATTATGTTATTAATTTTAATAAATAATAATTGAATATTAGTTATTATAACTGACATTTTAATCAAATTATGTCTCTTAATTATGATTATATCAGTTATACTAGCCCAAAAAAGAAAACCTAACGACTTAAAGTTGTTAGTCCACAACAATCAATTTTTCATTTTTGTGGGGACTTTGCAATATTTGATTGATTACAATTTTGTATATTCAATTTACTATAGAGTTAACTCCCAAAAGGATGTGTTAAGCTCAACTATGATGGGATTGTGTTGTCAGATCAAAGTACAACCTGTGGAGGAATTCTTGATCACCTAGGCAACTTCATATTTACCTTCTCCTGTAAGTTGGATCCCTGCTTAGTAGTTAATGTTGACTTATGGGTCATTTATCATGACTTGAAACTCATTACAGATAAAGGCGTGTCGGGTTAAATTTTAGTGGAGTTGGATTCAAATTTAAATATCTTAACGAAAGTTTTTGGAATCACTCGTGCTACAACCTTGTGAATTTTGTGGTCCAAATGGTAGGAGACAAGCATTGATTATGCTCATGCCCTTAGGAAAGCCAATTAGGTGGCAGATTATTTGCAAAGAGGTGTCTTATTTTATTAGAGGGGATGCATACTCCCCTAGTTTAGGTTTACTTTACTTTGCTCATAGTCGACGTAATATCCTATTTTTTTTAAAATTCAATAAATTGGAATAATTAGAATAATATAAGAGAAATAATTTTTTAATTAAAATAAGATGGAGAGAGATAAATCAAAAGATTTTGGGCTAGCCTTTTGGTCCAACCTAGAAACTAACTCAAAAAAATAAAAGAGAGAGGAGGTTAGGTCATTACGCACCTTCTAAAAAACCTTGAACACTTGCAGGAGAAGATTTAAAGGAGATTAACTCAGAAGGCACAAATTAAATAATTCTTTTTTTTCTCCCGTACCTGGATAAATAGGAACTAGAGCAGAACCTCCTCCTCTTTTCCTTAAACAGGGACCAGAACTAAAACTAGGGTAGAACCTCCTTCTCTAGATTCCTCTTGGTCTTCAGAAAGAAGGAGAGGGAAAGAAGAGAGAACAGAAGAGAAGAAAGAATGAGAATGAGAGGTGTGTGAAAAATGAGAAGTGAAGCCCCCTATTTATAGGAATCTGCCTCACTAACCCGGAACGGATCGTTCCAAAAGTGGAACAGCCGTTCTGGACCCTCCAGAACCACGCAAAAATCTCAACTGGAACGGCCCGTTCCAAAACCGGAACGACCCGTTCTCAATCCCAGCAGAACGGCCCGTTCCAATTCCAGAACGGCCCGTTCTCCAAACCAGAACGGCCCGTTCTCCAACCGGAACGGCCCGTTCTCAACTACGTTTTTTAGGCAAATTCTTTATTCCGGAACGGCCCGTTTCACTTTTGAAACGGCCCGTTCCGGGCAACGAATTGGGCCCAAGGCCCATTGAAAATTGGGCTGTTACAATAAATATGTCTATTTAGTGACTTGGAAACAGATCAAGACACAAATATTGGTACCAAAGCATGATAAATTATTTCAGAAATTTCATTTTCTCAATTATGTATTCCTTTTAGAGATTGCATGGTTACAATAAATTCTATGCTAGTATAATTTGTTGATTTGGCACATGAGAATTACTAAAGCCCACAAAAACTTGACAAGCCCATAAGCTCTCAAAGTATATAAAAGGCCCAAGCCCATGAAGATTTATATTAAGTAGATATTTATCTATTTTAATCTATAAGTGAACTCAAGACTTTACAACAGCACATGCATATTACTAAACCAATTAAGAGCATCTCCAATATTAAGTTCTTATCCGGTTCTTAAGTTTAACTTGCATTGGAGCATGCTGACATGACATATTAAATTGCTAAAATTTAAGTATCGTTGTTTATATAAGAGGCGGTTGCTTAATAATAAAAAAAATAATTTAATATTTTCTTCCTTAACTAATGCCAACAACTATAATAATTAAATTTTAAAATTTATTAAAAATGAAGTATGAGTGATTAAAATGTGGAGGTGCTTATAAGAAATTTTCATTGGAGTAAAAATTATAAAAATGTAATATAAGTTGCTTATGAGTGACATGGCAGTGTGTGATCCATTTAAAGTGGATAAGAGTTGCTTATAAACAACTCCCATTATAGATGCTCTTAATGTAGACTCAATTATTATTAAGCATATGTTAATGGCTAGGAAAAAAAAATGAGAAAGAAAAAAATATTCCTCACTCTTCCTCCCACTTTCTCTATAAGTTATATCACTTATTATAAATTTAATATAAAATAAGAATTTTATTAATTCAACCAGCTAGTTGTAATTATATATTTTCTTGATTATTTGGGTTAAATTTTGTCAAATTTTTCAATAATTTAATGTAACCAATTAATTTATATTTTTATATATTTAAAACTATATATTACATTAGTTTTAATGTATATAAATAAAATATTAAATAACTTTACGTTAATATAAAAAATTGAAAACAAAATCGATGTCAAAACAATTTTTAATTTACTGTGAGTTTTGAAATAAAATGAATAGTTATTGAATTGTACAATAATATACGTATACTATAAATTGAGTAAAATTTTAAATTAACATACAATAATAATATTTTTTTAACATAAGAAGTTAATAATAAATTATTAAATTTTGACAATTTCTAATTAAATTTTAAAGTATGAAACTTAAAAACGTTGTATAGGCCTTTATTAGGTTAAAAACCTTTATAACCATTAAATATATGGATAATAGAGGATTGCTAGAGAATAGTACTACACTAGGTTATTCTATGCCTCCAAATTTCATACAGCCGTAATAAAAAGAAGACCTTAAGGACTCTAGTGCCTACATGTGTAGAGCACTAATTTTAGGGTATGAAAACTAATGCTATGACTGAAACCAATTGCTGGACTCAACTTAAAAAAAAAAAACTAATGGACTTTTAAGGCCCAATTCCCTCAAATTTTATAATCATTGAATTTGCATGATTTTCTTGTGGTTCATGATATATACACCTCCTTTTTTTTATAAGTACACCTTCTTTTAAAAAAAATAATTAAAATTTTAAAATATTCTTAATTTTTTGTTTTAAATTTTTTAATTTTACATCCACAACATTTAATTTAGTACTTTTTTTTCACATATCTTTCCTCCTTTTTTCAATTTTTACATGCATCCCCTTATTTTTCCTTCACCCCACCTATTTTAGTAGCATGTGAAAATTGAAAGAGAAAAAAAGTGTGTGTGAATAAGAAGAAGAAAGTAACAAATTGAAAGTTGAAAGTGTAAAATTAAATTTTTTATAAAAAAAAATAATATTTTATAATTTTCTTTAGAAAAAGGAGGTGTACTTATAAAAAGAAGGAGGTGTATATATCACGAGCCTTTTCTTGTTACGCGCTTAGGCCTCCCATCTGTATCAATATCGGCCTGATCACTTTTGACATTGTCCTCAATGTCATTGGGCAAGTGGATGCAGTCACGGATCGCTGCTGAGGTGGACGCACGCGATGAGTTTGTGTTTCTTTTAAGTTGCTGGGATGAAGGGGTGCGAAGTGGAGCGTGGGCATTAATTGTGGAATTAATGACAGGGGCACGTGGCTGGGTAAACGAAGTGGCACCCACTTCACCAAAGCCAACGACATCATTGAAACCATTAAGTGAAGTCCCTTCGTCTGAGTTGGTGAGAGGTGAAGCGAGCTCCATGGATGTATCAGTTCGAAACTGATCTGGAAGAGGTGGAAGCAGACGAAAATGGTGAAGAGGATCCTCTCCTTTGTACGGTCGGAGCAAAGAAACATGAAACACTGGGTGAATGCCAGCGGTTTCGGGCAACAGCAATTCATAGGCCACCAAGCGATGCGACGGTGAACGCGGAAGGGCCCGTAGTAGCACTTGGCCAGTTTCTGTGACGTGCGGCGCAACAACGACGTTTGCCTGTACGATTGAAGCTTCAACAATACCTAATCGCCCGGCTGAAAGGTAATGTCACGGCGGATTTGGTCGGTGAAATGTTTCATTCGCTGCCGTGCTTTAGAAAGGTGCAGTTTGACTTCTCTTAAAATTAATCTATGTTCGTGTAGGAGAAGTTGAACAGTTGTGGAAGACGGGCTTTGTAAAACATCAACAGGGGTAGGCGGGGCACATCCATACAAGGCGTGAAAGGGAGTGGTACCGATGCTGGTGTGGAAAGAGGTATTATGCCAATACTCCGCGAGGTGAAGATATTGATACCATGCACGGGGATGATCACTAACAAAACAACGGAGATAGGCTTCTAAACAGCGATTCCAGACCTCAGATTGACCGTCTGATTGGGGGTGATAAGCCGAGCTAAAGGCCAAAGTGGTGCCTTGAGCGCGAAAGAGTTCACGCCAAAAAGAACTCACAAACAAGGGATCCTAATTGGAAACAATGGATTTCGGGCAGCCATGAAGTTTGAAGATTTCCACCATAAACTGACGAGCTAGCTGAGGGACAGTGAACTTGGCAGGGAGAGCAAGAAAATGTGCAAACTTGGTTAGACGGTCACAGATAACCCAGAATGTGGAATGACTAAATGATTTAGGTAAGTGAGTGATAAAGTCTATGGAAATGTCTTCCCATACTCTGTTGGCTTGCTTGAGGGGCTCTAATAATCCAAATTTTTTTGTTGGTAGGTATTTATCATGTTGACATTCATGGCACGCACGAATGAACTTGCGAGCATTAGAGTAAAGACCAGGCCAATAAAAAGCGGCAACAATGCAACAGACCGTGGGTTTTAAACCAGAATGACCCGCAACCGGGGTGCAATGGAATTCTTTTATCAGTTGAAGGAAAAAATCATGAATATCTGGAACAAAAAGCCTGGTTTTGAAGTACAACAACCCATTGTGGAAGGTAAACAATTCGTGCTCTTGATTTTGTTGATGTAGTTGAGTAACTAATGCCTGACCATCTGTCTTAAAATATTCCTGCCAAGGGTGAAGAAATGTAGGAACGAGGGAGGAAATGTGGAACAAGACAGAAGGCTTTGGTTCCGGTCTTGATAACGAATCAGCCACGATAATCTGGTTGCCTGGCCTGTAAAGAATATCAAAATGGTAGCCCAAGAACTTAATGGCCCATTTCTACTGCTCGGGAGTGTGCACCGCTTGGGTAAGAAGACTCTTCAAACTCTTTTAATTTGTGATTATTTGAAAATAATGACCAATCAAATATTGACGCCACTTCTTGATGGCTTCTATGCTAGCAAGCATTTCGTGCACATAGACGGACGCAGCCTGTAGCCTTGGACAAAGACCTTTGTTGAAAAAGGCTATCGGATGACCATGTTGGGATAAAATGGACCCTATTGTTAGAAACATCAGTTTCAATAACGAATGGAGAATTGATGTCTGAGAGAGCCAGAACAGGAACTGATGTAATTTTATTTTTGAGGTCTGTGAATGCTTGTTGTGCTTGTACACACCATTGAAAAGTAGTGGAGCGTAACAAATCGGTGAGGGGAGTGGTGATTGACACGTAATTATGCACGAATTTGCAGTAAACCTCGTTGAACCCGCGTAGAGCCGTGAGTGAACGCGGAAGAGGCCAGGCCACAATGGCTTGAATCTTCTCTGGGTCAGGTAGGACTCCCTTGCTTGAAATAATGTGGCCCAAATAGGCCACTGATTGCATGGCAAACACACACTTTGAAAATTTGGCATAAAACTGGTTAGATAATAGGAGTTGAAGAATAGAATCCAAGTAGGACAAGTGATCTTGAAATGAATTACTATAGACCAGTATATCATCAAAAAACATAAGCACAAATTTTCGTAAAAATGGTCTTAATAGTTCATTAAAAAAATTATTTTATTTTTTCTTTTAACACAACACTAATTATGAGATAGAAAGAAAAATACAACTTGCAATTTTGGAGGAAGAAATTCGCATTCTTAAACAAAAGGAAGAAAAACTTTTGGCAAAAGAAAAATTGAGAAAAATAAGAGAAAAAGAAAGAAAAAAAGGCATTTCTCTTATGAAAGAGTAAGGAGGAAAATATTTCCTCTAAAGGATTTGTGAGAGAAGAGAGTTGATCTATCACTAAAAATCATTTACAAAATACTTTCTTCCTAAATAAAAACTTTAACTCTTACCCTAATGTTACCTCTAGTCATGAAGTAGAGATTCTAGAACAAAATATTTTAAAGAAAAATGAATCTCAACTTCAAGATGTAGTGAAGAAGGAGTGGATTACATTTAGTTCCATTTCTTGTGCTACTTTCTTGGAGGTGCCCAAGGAAGAAAGCCTACCTCTCTTTAGGACTTCTTCTACCTTAATTATTCTAATAAAGCATCCAAATTTTGAAATATATTGTTTGATAGATACATGTTGTCATGTTTCATATTCTATTTTTGATCTTATGGGAAGTTCATCTTTATTTGAACTTAATTTACTTTCTTCCCTACAAGACAAAAATAGTTTATATGAGTTTTCAAAATTTCATGGGATAATATCTTTTTACAAGTATCTAACAAACAATATGATTCAAAATTATTTAGGAAGTTTTTTTCTAGTATTGTTTTTTAGGGCATGTTTAGGACACCATTTAGAGTACTTTAGGCAAGATGTTGTAGTTTTTAAGAATCATTCTTTTCATTGTATTAGTTTTAGTGTTATTACATTTTTATAATTTCATTCTAGGTTATGCTTAGAAGAGAATCCTATTTCCACCTTTAGGGATTTTAATTTCAATAGTTTAGTTTTCTTTGTTAGGCTATATGGAAGGATTCCTCTTAGGATCCACAGTTCATTTTCCTTACATTTCACCTCTTATACATGGTATGTTGTGCATGTAGGTGATGATTCTTATTCTATAGATTCTCGTGATTTGAAGACAAATCTTTTTCAAGAGGGAGTGAATGATGGAATCATGCCTAGGAAGGTAAGGGGTGACATATTGAGAGAGCCAAGAGGAATGGGCTAGACATGAAGGTTTGGGTTTTGACTGGTCCAATGGGTCTAATGGGCTTGGAAAGCCCAAGTTGAGCTTCTCATGGGCCATATCTTGTTTTAGCTATTCTTCTTATGTCTTGTGTATATCATATTAGTATAGGTTTTCTATATTTTGGGTCTTGTATTTTGGACCAACTAGAATAGTATTTTAGGCTATAGGCTTATTGGGCCTAGTTTTGGGCTTCATGGGCCTTTGGGCTTTTGGTACCCAATATTGGGCTCATTTTCATTCTTGTAACTTTTACTTTCCATTGTATTTGCTTGGCTAAATTAGAATTATTGAGGGATTACTTAAATAGATTCATTAGGCTAAACTAGATTTAATATAGAAGGCATTTATGTTGAATTTGGGATCACATGGATGGTGCTGACCATGTGCTTAGCCAAATCAACCCTGAATGCTTCCTAAATCAAATTAAGATGCATGAGGGCACCTAGATTCACGGACTTGCACATGGGAGTGAAGATTTGAATTCAAATTTCAAATTTGAATTCAAATCTTGGTGCCACATGTGGTGTTTGAATCTTGGCACCAAAATGCTTCCCTAGCTGAGCCTATATATGCATAATCCTTCATAACTTGTATTCACTTTTGATGAAATAGAATTCTGAATTATTCAGCCAATTCTTTCAAGAGTCACCGAGAGTGCCTTCAAGCCTTAGGAAACCTACCTAGTTTTCCTACCATTGAAGTGAGAATTCTTTTGAGCCTTAAGCTCGGATGCTTCCATCTCTAGCCTAGGCTTCCTTAATCTGTCTTCCTCAGCTATTCAAGCTTCATCTATTTGGTTCAAGTCTCCAAGAAGAGGATCCTACGTGTGGTGAAGGAATAGAGGAGCCATTCTTCCACTTATCTTGACTTCTACCATCAATTTTGTATGATGTATGATGCATAATTGCATGTGATGCCTTATGGCATGAGTCTAGCCTAGGACTTTAGAGGAAAAATATTTTTGAACTAGAAGAGCTCACATAGAGTCTCTTGAGAGTGGTGCTTGGATAAGCCACTGATATATGAGAGTGGTGCTCAAGTAGGCAACTGGATTTGGGAGTGGTGCTCAGGTAGGCAACTAGGTTGGGTGAGTCTTCTTTAAGTCCTTAGCTAGTGTTGGAGCGGGGTATGAGTTAGAGGGTCATTCCCTTAACCAAGTACTCGGGAAGGTGCGTGGATCCTTGTGGATAGTCGGTGGGCGAACTCCACAATTGACTTGGTTATGAATGCCAAGGTCGTGGTAAGCCCGTACCCAGCTGTGCTATACCTGACGGTGGATCTGGACTTTCAATTGTGTAAGTGACATCATCCGAGTAAACCCGAGTGAGGATTATATCTTGTTTAGCTGTGGCCGAGCGGGTGCATTGGGCGTGAAAACGGTTGGGGTGGTTTCGGTAGGATGGAATGTCACTTATACAACTCTGTTGTTAGGAAGATCTCCTAAGTGTATGCGTAACGACGCATTAGATGATTGATATGCATTGATATCTATCATGAGATGCATTTATTGCATGATTATTAAAATGATGAAGTCTGGTGTTTTACTTCATGATTGGTGGATTGTATTTTATGCATGAGTAGTATTGGATAGAGTGTATGGTGTGACTCTATGAATATGATTGATAGTTGGATGATTGTGTAGTATGGATTATTGTTCTATACTTGTATGATTGTTTTTGAACTCTAGTTTACCCTTTTGTTTCCATGTGGTGGGACTATGATGATCATACTTGGTATGGGAGCAGGTCAGGGATAGCTTGGAGTTGAGGTGACCACTGCGAGACGGGAAGTTTGATCCTCGTGTCAGAGTTACCATTTTGGGTAAGGATTTTGTCTGTGCATGACCGACACTAGGGAATATTATTTTTGGGATGACTGTACATATATGGAGTTTTATTTTTTATTTAAGAAATTTAGTTATTTTTATTCTTATCTATACTTGTATGTATGAGTTATCCAACTTAATATTTCTTTTAGTTCACTAGTAGTGCGATTCTACTAAGTGTAGAGATCATGACGAGTCATTACAGTTGTAGTGAAAACACCAATTTTAAATTTGAAGAACTAAAAAAATTATCTTAGTTTTAAGGAACTAAAAACTTATTTAAGAAAAAAATTAAACTCTTAATGGATGAGAATTGATTTGGAAGAAACTAAGATAACCCTAAAAACTCCAATGAGTAAAAATGAGACAATATTTGATTTTTAAGAATAATAAAAAAACCTAACGACATAGGTAAAGTTATAATGACTAGAATTATATTTAAATATATAATATCTAATAAAATATATTAGGCTTAATTAAGTTTTTTATTCTTCAAAATTCTGTAATTTTTTGCATTTAGACCAAACATATTTGATTTTTTTTAAAAAAGGTCCCGTGTAAAAGAAATATATCACCAATTTTTTGTGTAATTTTCCCCCCTTTCGTGTCCCTTTAAATATTACGAATTTTCTTCTGGTCTATTAAATATAAATTTTTCATGTTTAGTATTCTAATATTTGAGTTTCCTACATGTTATTAGAGGAACAAAAGAGAAAACTCAAAACTAATGATGATTAGAAAGACCAAATAGAAAAATAAAAAATGTAAATAAGAAATCATTGGATGATAAAATTTTTTTTATAACAGATTCATTTGAAAAAAAATAAATAAACAAAAAGGATACTAAATGATAAAATAAAAAAATTTTAATAAGCAAAAATTTAAGTACAATTTTAGACATGCTTTTATATTATTATTTCAATAAAATTAAATTCTTTTTAATCAGTTATCCACTCGATAAATTTTCACATTAACAGCCCCATCCCACCCACACAAATTATCATAATAAAACTTAAAATTTAAATTAAGAATAACAGGAAATTAAGATATTTGTAATATAATGCCAAAATTATGTCGTTTCCAAAAACTGTAGAGGAGCTCAATAAATCAAACCATTAAAAAGGTTTGTCTTCAAAACCACAGAGGCCAGCATCGTACGTTTTGGCAGTTTCCACCAACCATTAAAAAAAACATGGACATTTGTCCCAAATTTTATCACAGTTTAGGACAATAAGGGCTTTTCAATTTTTATCATACAAATGGATTTTTGCACACGTACGTCCACTCACAAAAATAGTTACTTACGTGAATAAATATAGTTATTTTATAGGTTTATTGTTATTAAATCTTTCAATAAATTTATAATCCATTATATTTAAGAGGAAATTAATTATTATGAGATATTTCAATAACTACGTAGCATTGTTAAATGTTAATCATATTCATAATTATATATATATATATATATATATATATA